GGAATAACATTAAATTTATAACTATTACTACTGAATTTTAGGTAACCTTGTGAAGAAAATTGTCCTTCAAATTTTGTGGAATGTCTTCCAACCATTAAACTGCATTGAATTAACATAAAATGACTAAATCTTTATAGCTTGTTCATCTTTTTAATATCTGAGCAGTCTCTGCGTTCCAGAACTGAGCTAGGTGCTGGGTGAGCCGCTCAGGTCTAGGAATTCTAGCATTAAGGGTAAAGCATGACGTGTGTGCCTCCAGGAGTGTTGGACATAAGCTCTTTAGTTGATTAGGCACAGGAGAATTCCAGTGTATTCAGATCAGACGGTAGCTGTCTGTGAATGTGGCGTGCGTGCGTGTTTGTTGAGGTGCAGAATGTGATGGACAAGTCTAGCTGTGTGACAGTGACAGTGGAGATTTGGGACACAAGGCATAGGGACCTAGTCCACCTTGAAGAATGGTGTTTTGAGTATCAATCTAAAGGCAAAAAAAAAAAAAAAAAAGGAAAACACGTTCTATAGTTGGTGAAGTTTCTCATGGGGTATGGGTTAGCAGTTCTGGAGTTCCATTTCCTGTGCACGGGTTAAGAGATGGTGAAGTAAGCAAGAGAGAAGGCTGGGATGTTCCTTGTTGGGAGGGATTCGAGTTGGAGACCTAGGTGTGGACTTGGGTTTAGCTAAGTACTGATCCAGATAGAGTTGGTAAGTACATGTGTGTAAATGTGTGTAAATGGGCTGGTACACACACAGGAGTGATGAGGGCCTAGCAGCCACGCCACACCATAGCAACAAGCACACCCATATCTTCACTCTAGGGGTGCCATTGTCCGGTGACCCGGACTCCTTGGAGAAAGGCGTAATTATAGGTCTGGAGCATCTTGTGTGGCCAGAAAATAAGGAAGTGCTCAAAAAACAAAGGATGTGGGCATGTCGAAGGGAGGAAGGAGCCAACCTCAAGGAGCTCTTAATAGCCAGAGCTAACTTTAGCAACAGAATAAATAGTGTGGTACTGCATAATAATCCAAAAGCGTAATACGTGTATTCACATGACATGAAATTTGTGCTAAGACAGGAAACCTCTTTTGTGCAGAAGAATTTCAAATAGTTTCTGTCGATACCTTTTCCTCCAGGAGCCTAAAGCTGACGTTTGCACGCCCTCCAGCTCACCGAGGGTAAACTGAGGTTGAGTTTTGTGACTCTTCCCCAGGGTAGAGTATGGGAAGGGAGAAGCAAGTTTACAGCGGCTGTCACTTAGCTGAGCAGTCAAAGCTAACCTGGTGGGTAGCCATCCTGTGACAGTGTGGGCGTACAGTGATGGTGGGACCTTAACCTGATCTCTCCCTAAACCTGCAGCCCGATAATAGCTATTAAAAAAACAAGTCAGACAGGCCTACCTCTTTACCACCAGCCGAGCCTGCCGAGGAGTTGCCGTGAGCTAGCCCACCCTCCCGAGCTGAAGAAATCTATGGACAAGAAGTTATCCCTGAAGTTAAGTGGTGACAGACGTGTACAAGGAATACTGTGGGGCTCTGGTCCCTTTGCGAATCTTGTGATTGAGCCTGTGGAGATGGCAGCTGGCGGGCACAGACTAACATTGGAACGGTAGTCACACAATGCAAGAGCATCACGTTAGAAGCCTTGGGAAGAGTCCTCACAGTGGCCGTTCCGCAGAGGAGTCCACATACCTCCCCAAAGGGCAGCTCTGACTATGGTGTAGGATTGGGTTGTGTACATTTTCATATAAGAATTTTTTTTTTTTTTTTGCTAAGTAACTTTTGTGATTGGGGGGTGCGGGGAGCCAGACAAAACCCATTGAGGAACATTTTGCAAAATGCTTGACCAGGACTCCTCATCACCGTTAAGGATGGGAAAAAACCAACAACAATGAAATAAAGAAAACTGTAAGATACCAGAGGAGGCCAGGTAGCTACAGCGTGGGACCCTGGACCAGGAGCCTAGAACGGAGGGATGTTAGTGGGAAGTGAGAGTAACCCGGATGATGTTTGTTATGAGACATTCAAGTGAGGGAAACCTGAAATGAACAGTGATTTCCCCGTTATCTCCATTCTACATCTGTGGTTTTACTCTCGGCTTACTATATACCTGCCCATTAATCCATCTTATTTTAGAAAGTACTTCAAAGTGGCAAACATCAGTGCATATGCCTCCCCCCATACACCCCAGCCTGTTTAAAGAATAAGTTCTTCTTCAGAACGTTTTTATTAGCACATTAATTATACAGAATCATGGGCTCCATTATGACATTTCCATATATGTAACGCATTCGATCTCATTCAACCCGCGTTTTGTTCCCCCTCCCAATCCCACCAATCCTCTTCCTCTTCCCCTTCCCTAGCCTCCCAAGGTGGCTGTCCAGCAGGTACCGGGCACTTCACAGTTGACACTACGTCTGTGGTTGTGTCCTATAGAATGTGGAGGAAGATGAAGAGTTACAGAGGATGTAGGTTTTGTTTTTCATGTCGTAGAGTGATGAAAGGTGTGTGTGTGAGATCACCTGAGCATGTTCGACTGCCATGCAGCTGTATCTGTGGGCCCTGGGACTCTCTGGAGCCTGTGAGTGTCCAGGAAATAGTAGCTTATACCTATAACTGTCAGGGCAGCTGGAGGGCATTGTGTGGGGTGAGAGGCCAGGCTGGGGCAGTGATGTGCCCGAGTTGGGATGTGTTGTGGTAGAGCATTTACCTGAGGAGAGCCTGAAGTCTCCCGACATCCTTCTTCCCTTTCCAGGGGTCGCCCGAGGAAAGCGGATGCCAAGGAGAGCAGCTTTAGCCCTGGAAGGGGCCAGGAGGGTGATCCATCAGAGAGTGCAGTTATGCAGAAAGGACAGCAGTCACCCCCAAAGCCCACAGAGCTGGGGCTGTGCCTGGAGGATGGCCTTCCAGCTGCTAACAGTGGCCCTATTCAGTGTGGATGCATAATGACTTCCAAACTAATCAGGAACCAAAGCCTGAGGCTGGGGACGAGCACAAATATCTTGTTGACTGAGCAAACATCTCGATTTTGTCCGATAGGAAGTTGCTGAGGAAGGTCAGAGTGATGTAATGGCGTGTGCTGAGCTTTCATCCTCAAACAGATGGGCCCCCGGGGTACCATCTGCAGCTCCCTGGGCCCTTGGAAATCATTTCCTATAAATGAAATTGTCGTAAGTGACCATTGAGAGATTGGTGTGGTAGCCATACCAGAAGTAACTAGACAAAGGAAGGGAATTTCCAGTGCCGTTGGCTGCTTGCTTTCCTCCCTTTGCCTTAGAAACCGCCCTGAGCTTTATGATTTTGTTCAGCTTTCTTGTGTAGCCCGCGAATGTTGTTGGTGTCCACTCCCCGCCCTCCCCTCCCTGGTCCTCCAAAGTAAACTTCCCTTTCTCCTCAGGCTCGCACAACTGCCTCGTACCCCTAAGCCAGTGTCAGCTGGGCACTTTTTATAAGCTGCTTTGCTATTTCTGGTTTTTGTTGAGGAGGAAGTAGTGTTTTTGTTTCTGGTCTCCCTCCCACCCCCCAATCAAAGGAATATATTTGTTCTGGGAAGACAAGGGCAGGGGATTGAGTTCAGAGAAAGACAATAATATTGTATTTTAAGTACAGCATCGTATGTAAGTGGTGGGCTTGTGAGTCATAATTGAAGTTGTTTTTTGGTTTGGTTGGGTTTTTCGAGACAGGGTTTCTCTGTATAGCTTTGCACCTTTCCTGGATCTCGCTCTGTAGACCAGGCTGGCCTTGAACTCACAGAGATCTGCCTGCCTCTGCCTCCTGAGTGCTGGGATTAAAGGTGTGCGCCGGCGGGCCCCCCCCCCCAGCTAATTGAAGTTTTTAATGAAATGTCTCAATAAAGTATATATTGGAGCAGAAAGCAGGGTCCATAGTACTTCTTGGTTTATTTATTCAGTAGTCATTGGCACCCTGTGCCCGGCCGGCGTAGCTCTGTGTCCTGGTAGAGAGATGCTTTCAGTAGAAAATAGTGTTCTTGGAGGAGTGCATCCGGTAGAGGCAGGAGGACAGACTTCTTGGAGGAGGCGGTTTTTGTATTGTATCTCAAGGGAATGCCTAGGTGAGGGATGGGGCTTTGGCAGAGGGAGACACCCAGAGTGAGATGTGAGCCAGCCCAGAGGGAGCCCAGACAGGCATGGGTTGTAAATGGCTGGTGTACTTGTCTACATGGGGATCGAACGGAGTGTACAATGGTTGAGACCCAGAAAGGGGACTCAGGGAAGGTGGTTTTGGAGTCCAAGTGGAAAGCTGGGGAGTCCTGTGGCTGAGTCGTGGTGAGGAACAGAGCGGCGGGGAGGTGGGGGTTAGCCTATTGAGCCTGATGGCTTTGGTTTTCTGCGTGGAGTGGGAGGGAGTGATGAGAGTGTGGAGCGCTTGTCGAAGGCAATCAGAGGGGCCTTTTTCCCGTCTTTTGAGGACCTTTCTGGGTCTGAGGATTCCAGGGCTCTGGCATTCTGGGCTACGGCAGGGCCTCTCTCGGAAGTCATTTTGGCTTGGAATGTAGTGGAGAAGCTGAGGCCTAGTCTGAGTCCCACCTTGTGCCCAGTGAAGAAGACCGCAGAATAAGGAGAGTGGCTAAAGGACAGAGGTGGATGACGAGTGATGGATTCTGGGAGGCCGGCCCGGGTGTGAAGAAGAGGACACACAGAAGGGCCACCAAAGGACCAGGACCTTGGGAGGGGGGCTCTGTGCCGGCTGGAAGGACCGGAACACAAGCATGGCACGTCACTGGTGACCATGACGTGGGCCTGCTAAAGCCTAGATTCGGGAGCCGGAGGTGGGTGTGATGAATGACGGCTGCTGTCACTGTGTGTGCTGGACACGGCTAAGTGCTTTCAAGTGTGCGCTAGGACAACAGCGCCACGAAAGGCTGATCCCCATTTACAGAGGAGGCAATGAGGCCCGGGGAGGGGAAGACGTTGCTCCAGGCCACATGGTGAGTCAGAAAATGGAGTTGGGATTCTAATCCAGACTGTCCCCTGGGTTCTTTTCCCTTAGGGGCCGACTGCCGGGCACAAACGTACAGGAAAAAGACAGGAGAGAGAACTGTGACCTAAGGACCACCGAACCGCGTTTCCTCCGTGAATGAGAAGTTACCAGAAGTAGGTAGGTGTCCGCTGAGAGTTGGGGTGGAGGGTGGTGTGACCATGTGCAGGGGAGCACCAAAGGACAGGCGGCGAGGAGGGGAATGGACTGGACAGGTTCCATTTGTCCAGAACCGTGTTTGAGCCAATGCTTCCTTAGCTGAGCAGGCGAGTTCATGCCCAGAGAGCCGCGTTCTCGCGGCAGGGCGAGGGAAGAGTTCTGTTCAGACCTTGCTGGCAGCGACGGCTAAGAACCATGTGCCTGTGCATCTGTACCACTGAACTCACTGTAGCCTTCCAAATGGTGAAATGTTTCTGTTTTTACCATCCTAAAAAGCAAGGTAGCGGAGGGAAGGGAATATAGCCATCACCAGTTACCAAAACCTTTTCCTTTGCCAAGTGGGCACTTAGCAAGTATGTGAATGAATGCTAGGGATTTTGCTAAGCGCTCTATGCATTGCTTTCATTTAATCCCTCTTTTGAGGGATGAGGTCAGCTCTGCTGCACCGACGAGGGTCCGGAGTTTAAAGGGATTAGACAACTTGCCCAGGGCCGCACATTTAGAAAGTGGAAAGCTGGTGCTGTTGGATCCCCCTGCCTCTACTCAGGGAACTGAAAAAGCAGAAAGAAGATTCTGGAAGCTGTGTGAGGGGTGGGAGTGGTTGACTGAAGTAAGAAGAATGCATGATGGGAAGAGAGAGGTGGGAGGAGGCCTCGTGATGAGACCACGTGGTTGAAAGTGTGGTGGAAGAGCCTGGCCTCCAGTGTCCGGACTGGGTGGCGCAATAGAACTGTCGGAGGGTACAGGAGGGGACTCCAGGTTATCATGAGTGTGTGTGGCAGGCTGTGCTACCTACAGATTCCCACTTGCTAGCAGATTCCTCCCAGACTGGGACCTGTGGCTGGGCGGGATGGATCTAAAGAGCAGCTTAGTCTGTTCCCCTTTCTCATGCTCCTCCTGAGTAAGTGTACCTCCTTCCTGTCTCCTTCCCCGGGGGCAGCTGAGGACCCACTGAGTCTACAGTCAGGAATGTGATACAGGATGGAGAGGAGGAGCAGGAGAAGGAGGAGGAGGAGGAGGAGGAGGAGGAGGAGGAGGAGGAGGAGGAGGAGGAGGAGGAGGAGGAGGAGGAGGAGGCGGCCTGAGTATTACTCTGCTGCCAGTAGCAAAGCCCGAATGTGAGGTCAGACCATGGCCAACCTTCCCACTTTGTAGACAGACTGAGACCTTTTGTCACAGGTGTTCTTTCTTTTTGGCAGAATAGTGTGAAATGAATCTATTAGGGATTGGATGGGACCGGCTCCTCAACATTTTTGAGACTGTAACCTGAAATGCCTGAGGCATGTCTTCAGTGGTGGCCCGTGCTATTTGGGGTACAGGTGCTAAGATGTCTCAGGTCCTTGGATTGAGTGAGGTGTTTATGAAGGGAGCCTCAGCTGTTTATGAGGGAAGTACCCCCCTGAGAGTCGCCGTTATCATTTTCCTTCATGTGTTTTCTTTGGACCCAGCAGGAGTCATTCATCCTCCTGGTTGGTGGCTTTTAAATTCTGTGCTGGGAGGTGGGCTGGCTGAGCAGCGAAACAATGGTCTGTGATTATGTAATCATTTAGAATAAATAAAAAGATGGTTCATGGCAGGTCCTGCAAGGGCAGCCTGGAAATGAGCGGTATCGGGAGGGATTAAGTTGCACTGCAGTTGAATTTGGCAGCTGTCAGGTTCTCCGCGGTAAGGTCCGTCAGCTGTAACCTCCAGGTGTAAACAGAGCTTCATCAGCATCCCTGAACAGCCTTCTGAGGATCCAGACAGAACTCGGTGGGATGCTGTCCATCAAAGAGTCATTGGCCAGGCCTTGTTTCTGGCTGCGATGTTTACCCCCGGCGGCTGGCAGGATCTATGGAGCTTTGCTGCAGGGAGAGATAGAGGGTCTCTGGCCTCCTCACTCGGGTCCTGTTTGCTTCAGTAGTTTGTCTTCTTTTCATCAGCTAAGACACATTTAGAGGCCAGATAAAACTTGCCTTTCAAATGGGAGTGGAGTAACAGTTACTGAAGTAGTCCTTCATTTTGTAAAATAATTATATGCTAATTTTGGGGCCACGGTTAGAACTCGGTGGTAAAATACTTACCTTGCCTGGGTGAGGCTCTGGGTTTGATTCCAGCCCCTCCTGGGGGGGGGGGGCGGGGACTAATATTATAAAGACTTAACCTTCTGTGCCTTTGCAAGAAGATTTTGTTGTTGTTGTTGTTTTCATGCCTGTATGTTCTCTCAGCCTAGAACATTCCTGGTGTATAGGATGAATTTAATATAGATGAGTTATTTGTACACGGGGGACACATTGCCTGATCTGTTCAAAGCCACACAGTTAATAACTGGGTGCCTTGAGAAATGGTAGGTGGAGTATTAGGAGATAATGGCTTCTGAACCTCTTCACTAACAACAATATTGAGGGTGCTGGAGAAATGGTTCTGAGGTTAAGAGCACCTGCTGACCTTAGAGACCCGTGTTAGGTTCCCAGGACCTACATGCGGCTTATACACCTGCTTGTAGTTCCAGCTACCAGGGATCTGACGCTGTTTTCTGGACTTCGAGGGAGTCAGTCTGCACTCATGTGCAAATATCCTCCCCACACCACATAGACACATAATTAAAAAATAATAAGGATAAATTTTAAGAAAGGGAAAGACTCTAAAATAATCAATATTGAGTATAGAAGAGTCCTGAGGTTTATAACAGTTTAAGGTTTTATAAAAGTGTTTTTCTGGGGTTGGAGAGATGGCTCAGTGGTTAGGAACACTTGCTGCTCTTGCAGAGAGGACACGTATTTGGTTCATGTCAGGCGGCTCATAACTGTCTGTAACTCCAGTTCCAGAGGGCAATGCCTTCTTGCAGCCTCCCAAGTTTACCTGTGCGAACATGGTGCTCACACTCACCACACATACCTATAAAATAAGTAAATCTTTAAAAAATAGTTTCCCCCAGCTATTAAGAAATCCTAATCTTTTCTAGAACAAATAAGTACAATTTTATGTATTTGAAGTGTCAAAAGCATTAAATGAGAAAGAACTTAGGAAAATTCATATATTTTATAAGTTCTACATTCAGGAGTTTGAAACTTTGTCCTTAATGTCATTGATTTTTAAGAGCTGTTTCTCTGATTCTTTTGATTTTGAAATTTTATATATATGTTTGAAATATTTATGTGTGTCTGAGTATGTGTGTATGTCACCATATACATGCAGCAACCCTTGGAGGTCAGAGGGGCATTGGATCTCCGAGAGCTAGAGTTACAGATGGTTGTTAGCCACTGTGTGGGTGCTGAGAACTGAACCTGGGTCCTGTGTAAGAGCAGTGATTGCTCTTCACTGCTGAGCCGTTTCTCCAGCCGACGCCTGCTGTGTGTGTGTGTGTGTGTGTGTGTGTGTGTGTGTGTGTGTGTGTGTGTGTGTGTCTGTGTGTCTGTGTGTGTGTCTGTGTCTCCAAGAGTAGGCCTGAATGAAAGTAATTTTAACTCTATAATAGTAACACCAGGAGTGACATAAGATTTTAGGAGTAACATGCTGTTGGTTGTGTCACTGTCTAAATTGTATGGACACAAGACGTTTTATGACCCCACCTCTCATACAGTGGTTTATTTGGCTTTGTCAATGGAGCACTATGGTAATTTGAATAAGAAGCATCTCTCATAGGTTCAGGAATCTGAAAACTTGGTTCCCGGTTGGTGGCCCTGTGGTGGAGCTGGTGCAGGGCTCCTGGAGAAGTTTGTCACTGGGGTGGGCTTTGGGAGCTTATAGCTCACTCCATTTCCCCCTCTTTCTACTTGATGTCTGTGGTCAGAGATGCGATCTCTTTGCTTCCTGCTCTGGTCACCATACCTGCGGCTTGCTGCCACGCCTCTCCTCTGCTGTGGAGGCTCTTAGTCCTCTGAAACTTTAAGCTAGAATAAACTTCCTTCTGTAGGTTGCTGTTGGTCATGGTGTCTTATCAGAGCAACAGAAAAGTAACTAATAAAAGCACCAAGTAAATTTAGGGACAAAAGTGTTACTATTTGTCCTGTAGCATTTATATTATCATTATTATTATTTTTCGATACAGTGTTTCTCTGTGTAGCCCTGGTTGTCTTGGAACTCACTCTGTAGACCAGGTTGGCCTCAAACTCAGAGCTCCTCTTGCCTCTGCCTCCCAAGTGCTGGGATTAAAGGTGTGCACCATCACTGCCCGGCTTTATTTTACTTTTAAAGAGGCAAGATTTTGCTAATTTGTTTGCCCATGGTAATCTCCAACTCCTGGATTCAAGTAATTCCTCCTGCATCAGCTTTCCAAATACCTGGGTCTGTTGGTGCATGCCACTGTGACTGGCTAGGCCAGTAACCTTGAAACATTCTCAACATCAGTAAAATCCTTTCTCACACCTGCAACATTTGTATAGGTATAAATTATAGTCACATATTTACTTAGTGACAAGTGGTTTGTATTTAAGATACTATGTAAATGGAATAATAAATAGGAACAAAAGATGAGGGAAGTAAACACAGTTAGGGATTCTACTAATTCTTTTAGGTACCCTTGGAGAGTACCTCCTACCCTCTACTGTGGAGACATCTGGTTGAGAACGACAGTGATCCAGAAGAGGAAGCACACAGCACTTTTTGAGGGAGGGTTTGCTAGTTTCTGGAGTGGTGTGTGGATGAGAAGTCGACAGAGAGGTACACTGTCAAGCAGATTGAGAGTAGGCTGGGTGGAGAGTCAACCAGAAAGCTGGGGGGTATAACTCCCTCACCATCTGTCTAAGAACGTTGCTGAGGTATCACGAACCAGACTCCTGAGGATTGAAGCTGTCTATCCCATTAGAATGATCAGATCACTTTCTCATAGCTGGTGGTGCGGGATACTGGACCACAGAGCGTAGTTCCTACAGAAGGCATGCAGAATCGATGGGAGGTCTTTCAATTCTTTGAGAAGAATAGGTTTGAATGGAGTGGGAAGGAAGCCAAGCCAACCATCGGGAGTTGAAAATGAGGTGAAA